TTAGGCAAATCTGCTGCACAAGACGTTTTTAAAGTGTTGAAGAGCAAAGATGTCAGCTTACATTCTATGAATAAAGTCCTATAGCCATGCCTGACTCTCAGAGAATTGCAATGCAGCAATGTATTGGGGACTGGATGAGCATTCTTATGAGATACACATTGGGCTTTTTGAGAGGTGATTTGTAGAGTGGAATCTGAATGATAAGTCAGAGATTTCCATGTCAGTGGAAAGAGCATTTCAGGCCAAAAGTGTTTTTTTGTTGTTGTTGTTGTTATTGTTTTTAATGCTTGTGCTGAAATCCTAAAGTAGGAACCAGTAGGTGGTAAAGTTAAAAAGATCATGATATGTGGGGTGGTGAGATTACTAAAGTAGACAAGATCCTGGTACAGGGGAATCCTCTATTTGGGTGCTGTAGGATAAAACACTGGACCATAAGGTGGATTTGAAAAGCAAGGTTGAAAGTAAAACTTACCAGCCTCTCCTAAGAAACCCTATACAGAGTCTCTATGAATCAGAAGTGACCCAATGACAGTTAACAATAGCAGGAAGTTGAAAACAATAACATGGACATGAAAATAAGTCTTTTGGAATAACAACCAAAAGGGAAATCTTTCATAGGATTACAGATGACTCCAGATATTGGTATCAAACCTTTGCAAATACATTTCACTTAACATTTGTTATGTCAACAATAGAACATGTCTTTTGCTGCCTGATCACAGTATTTTACAGTTAAATACCTGGATTCATTTTATCCATTTATTTTCCTTGCACTGTGTCAAAGAAGAATAAAAGGCATCTGACAGTGTGAGAATATTGGTCCCTTTAAGAACCTTATGATGATCATTTTTTAATTTCCTTTCTAGAATTTACTAACTGGAGGGAACATATTGACATCCTAAACCTTAATATTTTTATAATCTGCTGAACAAATTTATCATTGTTAAAGGTAGTTTCAGATAGATAACCAGAATATGGTATAGTACCAGTGTTCCTCACCTGAAAAGAAGTAAAATACTGATATCTGGCTGAAACTGGGAAACATTATGAGGAGTGAACTAAATCAACCACAAAAGGATAAACACTGTATAATCCCATGCCTTTGAAATATATAGAATTATTGTTGTT